GGGGGAGGTGGGGGGTGGGGGTGGGGATTTGATACATTCCCGCTTCCTCAAACAGTTGCTCTTTGAAAGAGGAAGACTGTGATCTAAGGTTGTGACTAGCAGAGGGGCAGCATGACCCCCCAGCATGTGCGTACCTCTTCCCTGGGAAATGACCAAAATGACATATTGACCCGTAGCTGGTCAGGAAGATGGTCTGCAGAATCTCCGAAATGGTTCAGTTTGTTTATTTTTGACTTCTCATTAGGCATTTGGGCTGTTCACCCCTAGATCGGCTGTTCGAACCCACCAGGCACTCGCTGGGTGGAAGGATGAGGCCGCCTGCACCTGTAAGGGCTTAAGGACGGACTTACAGTCTTGGAAACCCTAGAGAGTGGCCCTGTGAGTTAGAACCAATTGGCTGGCCGTGGGTTTGGTTTGTACAATAAAACTGGCAAAAAGGGAGTCCTGGTGGTTCATTGGTCATGCCCCAGGCTGCTAACCACAAGGTCAGCTGTTCAAACACACCAGCCACCCTGTAGGAGAAAAACCAGATGAACTGCTTCTGCAAAGATGGTAGTCTTGGGAAGCTTATGGCATAGTTCTAATCTGGTCTTAACGGTCACTGTCAGATTTAGATTCAGCTTGATGGCACCCAGCAATATTACTCTGAAGCCAAGCCTCTGCATTTTATACATGTCAAGCACGTGAGTCTAATTCCTCCCTTCCATTGGGAAGGGAGGTGGTGCTATTCATTTTTTCCATAGCTTTGCTAGGCACCCGTATTCTGTATTCACTTATCTTGTGATTGTATTGTGGACTTCTTGTCTTACTGTAGAACAAAGCTGAGGTGTAGCAACTTGCAGGTGGTACTCTGATAAAAATGAATAGGTTTGGGGTTTTAAGTGGAAAAGCAAACCAGCTGTCCATGGAGCAGATGAAGCACTCTGGGGAGTCTACGACCCTTTGGGCAGTGATGCTGCCTCTTCAGAGCGGGCACGTTTCCTTTGCTAGATCACCCTTGTTATCTGGGTCGTGATTCGCATTGGACCGAATGGCTGTGACAGCTTGGAGTTTCATGAAAGTGGCCTGCTCCGATTCAAGCAAGTCTCGGACATGGGAGTTATCCATCCTCTCTACAAGAGCACCGTCGGAGGAAGGCGGAATGAAAACTTGGTCATCACTGGCAACAACCAGCCTGTAAGTGCCCGCCTTAGGTGAAACACAGTGTGAATGAGGGAGAAATGACAATCTGGGAAACCCCAGAGAGTGCCGCTATGACTTAGAATCAACTTGATGGCCATGGGTTAGATTTATTTGTATCTGAAAGATTAGAGTTGGTTTTCAGAAATGGATCTTTTCCTATGTTTCCTGTGGAGAAAACTGATTACAAAACAAAACAAAACATCTAAGAGTGTGGTTGGAATGGTCGGCTATTCAAGTGAGATGCTTTCTGAACTGTCTCGAGTTCGTTCGAGGGTGGCATTTTCGATGGCATGTGTACACCATTGACTCTTCTTATCTTCATTCTAAAATCCAGTCGTCTGGAGCCGGCTCCTACTCATGCCCCCCCCCCCATCCCCAGGCGGGCCGGAGGGCAGCTGTGCTCCCTGGAGTTTCCAGTGACCGCTTTCTAGAACTGATCTCCTGGCACTTGGGGGTGGGGGGGGCCTCAACCCCCCAACCTTCCTCCAGTTAGCAGCAAGGACCTTAACAGTTTGTGCCTCCCCCCCCCCCCCGCCCCAGGGACTCCACCTTCACAAGGCTGCAACTCACACTCGGGGCACCCCTTTAAGACAGAGTCGTGTTTCTGACACTGTTCGGGTTTCTGACACTGTAGGTGGCAGCAGCCAGCCTCACATCTCAGGCAGAGCGGCGGGTGGGTTTGGGCTGCCAACCTTGCCGTCAGCAGCCCAGGGCTTAACTCACTGCACGCCAGGGCTTCTTACCTTCATATTCACAAGCCGTTGATCAAGCACCCCCCCAAGGAGAACACCCTGTGTTTTCTGCGATTCCGGCTGAAAATAGGCCAGTCTAGTCATTGGCATCCCACGCTCAAGCGGCTGCAAAAGCATAGCGTTCAACTGAACCAAAGCGCAAGGAAGTCATCAGTCTTAGATATGGGGCTCTGTGTCCTGTGCTGTGTCTTCTGTGGAGCGGTGTAAGGAAGCAGGCATCTAAGCCTTCATTTTAAAGAACGCTTGTCCCTCGAGCGGCGAGGTGACAGAGAGGATGTTATTGATGGGGATGGGGACATTGTGCAAACACCATATTATATACAGGCAGTCCCCGGACAATGAACAAATTCTGTTCCTAAGTCTGACTTTAAGGGGATGTTGTACAAAAGCTGGAACCGTTAGGTGTAGTTCGTATCTAACGTCAATCAAATATTTATCTTAGTATATAATGTATGAATAAAGATGACCTGTCTACCCATTATCGAAAAAAGGAACACTTCCAGGTAAACAGCTTCAACGTAATACAGTAATAATAGCTTTTTTATGCGTGTGGCAATCAGCAGCCGTTGTTACTACTAACCTTGGTGCGTACCCCCAGTTTTTAATATAATGGCTGTTGGAGTGGGGTTGGTATGTGTTTGGGCATTGCCCAGACATTATGTGATGGCACGTGATGGGTTTTGAAATTGAACTATTGTAGAGTGTCTTATAATGTTCTCGCTAAGTTTTGGGTACAGTATTCTTTGGAGACATACTCGTGATAAAGTCTTTCTCTGAAGATTGTTTTTCAGCAAGGGACAACGAAACTCAGCGTAGAAAAGAACAAAACGTCCATTACTAGCGACATTGGGATGCAGTTTTTTGACCCAAGGACTCAAAATATTTTATTCAGCACAGACTATGAAACTCATGAATTTCACTTGCCACGTGGAGTGAAAACGCTGAATGTCCAGAAAGCTTCTACGGAAAGGGTATGATGGGTTTTCTTTGCCCGGAATCCCAAGGCCTGAGAATTAGTGTCCAAAGCCATTTACTGGGAGGGGTTTTATTGCCCGAGGGGGGGTGTCAAAGAATATGTCCCAGAACAATGGAAGAGACCCAGCTTTGTCAGGCCTTTTCCATATCTCCAAGGAGGCCTCAGAAACTCTGGGGGGAATTCCATTATCTTTTCATTCCATTTCTACAAGCTTTTTAAAGCACTCTCTTACAAACTGTAAGCAAGAAATATTTGTCCCCCATAGTTCACTGTTGAAATGCTTACTTCTCTCTGAGAATAATTATCCTATGCATTTAGAAACCCTTTCAGTGTTTTTGTTCATTCTTTCTTTCTTTTTTCTTTTCAACATCTCAGATTACCAGCAACGCTACTAGTGATTTAAACATCAAGGTTGATGGACGTGCTATTGTGCGTGGAAACGAAGGTGTATTCATAATGGGCAAAACCATTGAATTCCGCATGGGTGGTGATATGGAGTTAAAGGCTGTAAGTATACACATATCTTTCTATATGAAGCGTTTAAGAGACTTGCAAGTACACCGATATGGGACTACAGGATGGCCGTGGAAATAAACCCATGTAGTGCAATCGCACATTGTATGCCCCAGGGCTCCTCAAACTGACACCTAAGGGCTCATAAATAAGGAACTTCATAATTTGGAGAAAGCGAATACCTTCACGTTCATGAACAGCCAATCTCCTAAGGTGGATAATCCCATTTTTCCAAAATAAAGGTGAATACAGAAGAGATTTCTATCATCTCAGCTTCTTTTATTTATTTTTTTTTTTTTGTATAAGAGAGTTTTATGTAAAGAAAATGTGCATCATGAAAAAATCCCAACCCAATGCTGCCCAAGCCCACAAGTC